CCCAGCCCGGCTGGGCCAGAGAGCCCGCGAGCACCTTGCGCGCGCCTAGCCCCTGCAGCGCCCATCCTTCCCGCAGCCCTACCCACTGACCTGCTGGGACAAGAGTGGAAGCGCCCATTTAGGCCTAGGCTGGCACCACTCACCAAACGCCAAAGTTCTACCACCGTCCATAACCTTCAAATGCTTGGGCCTCAGTTTCCCGTCTCTAATAAGAGGAATGGGCTCTAGACCAGACTTCTCCAACTTGAACTTACACACCAGACACCTGCGGGTCATGTTTAAACTACACATCACGGTCTAGTAGATCACAGTAGGCTGAAGGGCCTGCGTGTCTGACGAGCTCCCCAGTGATGCCATTATGTCTGGTCCAGGGACCACACCTTGAGGGAAAGGGTGTAAATGAACTTGTGGCTTCTTCCCAGCCCTAGACACCCTGCAGGTCTTGTTCATACTGGTGTCCGCAGCTCTCAACATAGTCAGGACCGGGTGGCAGTTAAGTGCTTGTGTCTAGAAACAGGTAAATCTAAGTTGTGTGATTTTGGTCAGTCATCTGAGCCCTCTGTGCCTCAGTTTCCTGGTCTGCAAAAGGTAATACCAGTAGGGTCTTGTAGGTTTTAATGTAGGGGATGGATTTTTAGGTAAAAGTTATTAAATGCTTATAAAGGTCTTGATACCTTGAAAGTGCCCAATGAACATTGCCCACTTTAGTATTATACAACGTGTAGACATACACACATTTGTCCATCTTCTTGTATAATATTTGTCTCCTCATTTGTAAGGATGATATACACTGTCCTGTTCATTATAATAGCCACAGAACCTAGCACAAGACTTGGTGCATAGTATGTGCTCAATAAATATTTGTGGCTAGAGAGGAAGGAAGGAAGGAAGAGGAAAAGGGGAAGAAGGAAAGACTATTAAAGTTGCTGGGGGCCACAGAGATGGATACTTCCACCTCTTCCATTGCACAGGCCTGGAGAAGTCCAGCCACATGAGCCCCCACCAGCTCTGCTCTCCATCTGTTCCTTGGACCTCCCTCTGGACCTCTCTTAGGGACAGGCTCCCTGCCTTGTAGGCTTCAAACTCTTGCCTTCAGCTTCTCCTTTCGTTCTGGCTCACAACTGCTCAAGTCTCTCCCAACCTCCATCTCCCCAGAAAGCCTTTCCTTCCACCATCTTCCCTTTTCCCCTCCCCCCCACTATCATATTTCTTGAAAGAGTAAGTTGACAGGCTGCCAGCCCTGTCTTCACCTCCCACGCATTCCTCAGCCCACGGCAATCTGGCACCCACCCCCACCACTCCTCTGAAAATGCTGTGAAGTCCTGGACGCCCTCTCAGTTTGGCAAATTCTGCGGTTCCTTTTCCATCCCCATCCTGCCTGGCCTCTAGGTAACTTTCTGCACCGTTGCTCCCTCCTTTGCTTCTTAAAATTCCCACTGGTGTGGTTTTCTTGGCATTGCCTGACACAGCTACCGTTTCTCTCCCTGCTTCTCTGGTTCTCCTTTCTCTCTCCTTAAATTCAGCCTTTCTCATATCTTGAACCACTGAACTAAATGTCGGTGCCTCCCAAACCTCTGTCCCCATGTGCTGCCCAGGTTACGTTTAAAAGCAAAGATGCTGCGGTGTTCAGGGTGAGAGTATACTGAATTCAGATCGATGTGGCTTCGCATCCAAGCTCTGCCCCTTAGGTGCTCTGTTACCTCTTTGCCTCACGCTTCTCACCTGTTAAGTGGGCTTCACATGCGTTCTGACCTCATAGGGTGGGTGTGAGGGTTAAAAGCTTCAGCAGGAGCTCTGTGAACAGTAGCTATTATTGTTATTTATTATCTCTATTTTTTAAAAGATGGAGTCTCACTCTATCACCCAGGCTGGAGTACAATAGCACAATCTTGACTCACTGCAACCTCCACCTCCCAGGTTCAAGCAATTGTCCTGCCTCAGCCTCCCGAGTAGCTGGGATTACAGGTGTCCACCACCACACCCAGCTAATTTTTGTATTTTTAGTAGAGACAGGGTTTCACCATGTTGGCCAGGCTGGTCTTGAACTCCTGACCTCAGGTGATCTGCCCGCCTCAGCCTCCCAAAGTGCTAGGATTACAGGCGTGAGCCACCACGCTTGGCCAGTAGCTATTGTTTGTATTGTGAGGAGGAGGAGGATGGTTAGTTCATTCCCTTGCTTAAAAGCCCTAATGGGGGGCCAATGTAGCAAGACCCTATCTTTAAAATTAAAATAAAATAAAATACGTAGCCAGATGTGGTAGTGCACACCTATAGTCCCAATTACTCAGGAGGCTGAGGCAGGAGGATGGCATCAGCTTGAACTCCCCCAGGAGTTCGAAGCTGCAGTGAGCCATGATCATGTCACTGCATTCCAATCTGGAGCGCAGCACAAGATCCTGACTGCAAAAACAAACAAAAAAACCTTCATTGGACTTCCTTTTCCTACAGGATAAAACCAAATTCCTGGCCCCAATATTCAAAATTCCCCCTCAATCAAATGGTCCCAACCTTTCCTTCTACCATTTTTGAATGCCATTTTTCTCCCACACTAAGACATTATTATTTTTGTTTTCTTTTGGATGATCCTCAATGCCGTATATAGAATAAAGGAAGGAATTTACCTTCAACCCCAATGATCCTTATGCAGAGTAGGCACATAGTAGCTAGGAGCCAATTTGTTAAATGAACAAGTACATCAAAAGTTAGACATATTCCTGAATCTTACTATTGCAATATTAGGCTGTCACTCCAGAATCTGTACAAAGCTCCTTTGAAACTAATTACATTTTCGCTTTCTGCTGGCGCTCAGCATAATTAGCTCCAGGAATTGACTTCCTCTGAGCAGCTGTGATTCTACCGGACCTGCTTGGGAAGTAACACTGAACCAGCAACAGAGGGCTGGGGCTGGCCATCATCTGGTCTGGGACCCAGGCCCAGTTCTGCTGATGGATGGTTTTGTGGCGTTGGGTACATCACCCAATCTCTCTGAGCTCTGGTGTCCTCATTTTATTCAAATGAGCACAATTATTCCCATGTCCCAGGGTGGTCATCAAGGCAAAATGAGATCACATGCAGGGAAGAACATTGTACAAATACTAATGTTGCAAACTCACCTCCCAGGTTTGAATGGTTCCCTTTGTAAAAGTTAGCCAGGTCAATTTCCTATTTGAATTTAGTAAGTAAATATTTAAAGTCCATCTCCTTGGTTATTATATGGCCCTTGAAAAGCCTTGATCTTTTTACTCTGTCCTTCTCCAGAAGAGTCCACATCTGCTTCATCATTGCAGGACCTCATCTCTAGACCTTTGCCACTTCATTTCTTTGTTGAGGGACAGTGGGCTGAAGAGCACACACTGATTGTGGGGTCGATATACAGGGATTGGGACACAAATGGAACACACATCTTATCCCCAGGGCTGGCCCTAATGCAACACAGCACAGTGGGTAAGAATGTTGGTTCTGCAATGACACTGCCTGGTTTCAAAGCCAACTCCAAATGACCTTGGAAAATGACTTCATATCTCTGAGTTTCCGTTTCCTTAGCTGTAAAACCAGGGTAGTAATAGTATCTGCCTTTTAGTTGTCGTGAGGATTGAGTGGGTTAGTATTTGTAAAGCACTTGGATTTGTGCCTGATAGACATGTTTGTTATAAGCAGTCTTCAGAGGACAGAAATGTCATGGCTCCCTTATTCCTTTCTTGGGGCAAGCACTCAATGTCTTCCATCTTCTGGAAACAGCAGTTGCTGTCCTGAGGCTCATTGAAACTTCACCATTGCTCATTCATTCATTCATTCACCAAATGCTTTAGTTCTTTTTTTTTTTTTTTTTTTTTTTTTTTTTTTGTATTTTTATTAGAGATGGGATTTTACCATGTTGGCCAGGCTGGTCTCAAACTCCTGACCTCAAGTGATCTGCCTGCCTCAGCTTCCCAAAGTGGTAGAATTACAGGCGTAATCCACCATGCCCGGCCTTGCTTTGGCTCTTTAATTATTTTCCAGATGCAATATCGGTCACTAGGGAGCAACACCAGATATAAGCCTCACCTCAATGGTATGCTCGAGCTGGCTCACACCAGCTCATGACAGCCGATTATTGCATTTTCAGGGATTTTGCAAGGCGCCGTTGTTGGTATCTTGAAATCTTCCAAGGTAGTTGCATTTACACCGTGGGAATTTGCAAGTGCCACAGATCACAGATCAGGTGAGGCATCCTCACCAGCCAGTGTGCATGCCCCATTACAGGATGGTGGCGGAGGCAGATGTTAACCAAGCCATCACAGAAATGAAAGTTAGAGGTGCTCAGCGATGTGCAAGGGAAAAGGCTGTGTTGCTAGAGAGCTTGTAACCCAGCAATCTAGCCTTGGCAAGGAGATAAGGCAGAGCTCCCTGAGCAAGTTGACAGATGAGCGGGAGCCTGAAGGGAGAAAAACAGTGAACTGAACAAGGAGGGTCTGGGGTTCCGGAGGATGCTTGCCAGGGTCAAGGCTGGAGAGCATGGTGTGGAACAAGATGTGCTTGAAGGTGAAGCATTTTTAGCAGTGGGTGCCATGAGAACACATTCACATTGTAAAAAGATGACTTCTGACACAGCGTGAAAAGTAGATTATAGGGCGGGGTGGTGGTGGGGGGCAGTGAAGAAGCTACCACACTGGTCC